CCCCAAAACCCCAAAACCCCATGATTGAATCTTTAATTTAAATATCTTTGTTACATGGTATAATAATTATTATTTAAAAGAATAAACTGGTATATATAATATTTTAAAAGAACAAAAAGCAGATTGATGAGATTACTTGCATTGCTTTAAATATTAGCTTTCTTAGTTAATATAACCTTCGAGATTGATATTGAAGTTTCCTTTAAAACACCTTACTGCATCAAAGATCCTCTTTATTACGCTTTAGAAGCATAATTCTTTTTAAGTAAAGAGAAATTTTGGAATGATATAAAGAATTTTCAGGGTAAAGAAGAATATTTAAATAAACATTCAAATCCTAATTACTATTTTAATCCCGATGATCAAACTAAGTTAGAGTATTATAACTAACTCGAAAAAAGTTAATCATAGCTATATAGTACACAAGCATGCTCTTTGTGGATCAAAACATATGAATAGCACAATTAATCATTAAATGGAGAACTTTATACCTGGTATCATGAGACAAAAGTATATTGTGGATTGGATTCATATATTAATGGTAACCATTTTAAGGGGAACTTCGTTAACGGATTTCATTAAGAATCAATGGACTTTGGAAAGGATAAAATACTTTATAATAACCTAAATGATCCTGAGATACTAATTCTATACATAGACTTGAAGCAAGTGGACGTCATTGAAATTTTTAATAAGTTATCGCACAAAAATATAGTTCTTAGGTATAAATTCACAGAGTGTTTAAATATTAATGAGCATCATACTGACTAACCTCATTACAACACGGTTAATACTGAAAGTTTTCAAGCATTAGGAATAGATATTTAGATTCACAAGTTCCCAGACACATAACAGGATTTAATTGCTCATGCATAAAGATATAAGAAAAGTATGTATAAATATAGACTGCCTGAGATTTTCGATCCTTATCAATCATTTGTACTTAATTAAACTAGAGCTGCTTCAGATTTATATTAATTAGCTCAAATATTAGAAAATCACCCAAGCTTCAAGATAGAAAAAGATTATTCCTATCCTGAGGAGTAAAAGCTAAAATATGATGGATTAGTTACTAAAGAAGAATTTTTCATTGTAAATCACAAATGTGTGAGATTAAACAGGCATACCAGTGACCCAATCTATATAAATCTTAAAATAATTGAGGCTTTAAAGTAATCTTAGATCTTGAGCAAATATGTCGAAAATCCATAGCAACTTTATGAGAATATTCTATCTTTTGATCATAAATTGCCAGTATTTAATCCTTCATTTTTATCTGAGGAAAAGAAATCTTATCTAAGCCTCAGGAGTATAAAGAGCAAACTAGACCTTTCAAAATTTAGTCAACTTATAAAACAAATTGAATAGATCGAGGACTTAACCGATGTTAAGCTACCATCAGGCCTTATTTAAGTTCTCTTGATAATAGATGTTAAGCCTAATTAAGATCAATAAATTTTATTGAAGTCATTAGCTAAAGTTCACAAGGATCATGTATAATTTGATCTGAGGGTGATCATTGTTGATAGCGAAAATAATGATCAGAAAATTATTAGAGAGTTATATCATTGCATCTAAAATGCCTTTGAAAGCACACTAAACTATGATTTTCTAGATAATATCTTTTCTGATGATGCTCTTTAAGTTTGTTAAAAGAATTACAGCTAGTTTATGAAAGAAGATCAAATGTAAAATATCGATTAAATGACTCTATTAAATGCCAGAGATCTTTGTAGTGACAACAGCATCTGCGAAGTTCCTTTTATGATGATTAATTAGAATGTGATAAACTAGTTCCAACTATTAAAGACTTTGAATTAGAATTTTGATAAGCCCGAACATGTCATAGATTTAATCAAGAGCACAATGTTTGACTAACTTAAAAGGCTAAAAATACCTGGAAGCCTTCTGAATACTTAAACTGAAAATCTATTTGATGTTTATTTATCAGGACTCAAAGACCACAAGTATCAAACTGATTATTACTAGAATGAGATTAGAAATCAGTATATGCACCATGATACTAAAAAACTAGCTAAATTAAAGTTTCATGAATCTCCTAAGAATGTAACTTTACAATCTAAAGTTCTAATCCTTGCTTATTCTTCTGACTAGAAAATTTTAGACAATCTTTAAGCCTGGATTGATTAATCGGAGAATTTAAAGGACCAAGTTATTTTTTAAATAGTTGATAACTTCAATAATCATCTACTTTCGGGGTAATTAGAATTAGGATAGAGCACTTTCATCTTTATAAATGGTATAATGATTGATTCCTTCAGATTGAGTTAGAAAAGATTTGAACAACTTTTATCAAGTGAATTCAGACAAGTTGATCTATTGCTAGGTGGATTAAAATTGAAAAATGGCTTCGAAAAAATTATGCTAATAAATGAAATAAAATTGACTGAATATTCAAAGAGAAATGCTTCTTTGCCAGATGAATTTAACTGCATTAAAGAGTATGAAAAGGCAGCTAATCTGACAATTGCACTAAATAAGTTCAAAACAGTGGAGAATCCAATATTGAACTTTAAAACTAAGCTAAATGTGTTAACCAGAGATTCAGTAAACTTTGTTTCACTCATCAATCAAATCAAACTTGGAATTAGTATTGAATTATCAATCTTCACTTAAAGAAGTCTAGGAATAGAAATGAAATTTATTCCATACTATTATTTTAGGCTTTTCTTTGATGATCATCTTAGGAATCCAAATGGAACTTATAAAATATAGAATTTAAGTGATAGATACCAAAATTACTTAATTGATTTACCTTAGCAAAAAAGACAAGTATTTGTGATAAATGAATTATCGCATTTCTACGAACTGGATGAATAAAGATAAGGAAATTAAAATAGCTTAAATATCTCAGTATTTGGTCAAAAGGGTTATAGCTTAGTTTTTAATACAGAAGCTGCAAAATAACTCGATAAGTAATTTAGAGAATAAACAATTGAATATCCATAAGTATAATTCTATCAAAAAAGAGTAAATCAATTGGTCAGGCTATCACAGATTAATCATAATTCTTTCAATCCTTTTAATGAGAAGGGAATGAACAAGAAAGAGAAATTTATGCTATTTAATGGAGCAGGTTAGCCAATCTAGAGTTATTACTCATTATTGCATTAATATCTCTAGCTCACTCTGCAATCACCTGGAAGATACTTCTTAATGAGAGAGAATACTCAATAGATCATTCTCATTGATTTCTATTCAGTAATCTAAAGAGATGGATTGCTTGATTAAGTGGAATTTAATTCAGATTTTGATGCTTAAACTTTCAGATTTTCAGAGCTAGATGAATTTAAGACTAATTATAACTTCAATAACTATCGTAGCATCCATAAAAAAGATACAGTTAACATTTATTACACTGTATCTGGGAGCCTCTATGAGAAATTTGCCTTATATCAGATGTAGTAAATGCTAGAATAGAATACCCAGGAATAATACAGATTTTTAATTTATGAGGGAACATTTTGTAGTCCAAGCTTCAAAAAGTCAATTTTTAAGCTGAAAGGAAAGTATAGTTTTGATCTTGATTTTATCAATTATCCATGGCCTCATGATATTGCTTTCCATGATCCTGATCCTAAAAGGACAATCAATCTGTATAGAATAATGTTTTTAGACAATGGTCTTCCTCATGATGTAGATAGAGTTATATATCGTGATGCTGATCAATGCAATCTGGAAAATTCTAATATGAGATATTTACAGAATTCTGAAATTAAAAATTTCCCTCAAGCAATGGTACCACATTGCAAGCATTTTGATAATAAAGGATACGATGTGAATCAAGTGATGAAATACTTGGGAAAAAATCTGACTTATTTTACTAATAACATAATTTTGATTGACACAAAAAGATATAGAGAATCTGACTACCCAGATATAATCTTAGATTTTTACTAGGCTGCAGTTGGTAAATGGGGCTTTGATCCATTTTTATTAACTTAAGATTTGTAAAGCCCTGCATAGATTTATGTCCCTATTTATCCATTGGATGAGGATTGGGAATGGGCAGAAGATTTCTGTGATCCTGAAAAGAAAAAAACAGCTAAAATTATAGATTTCTAAGATATGAAAAAAGAGGATAAACTTAAAATTGCCAAAAGAGTTTGCCCTAATTTCGCTGAAAGATTTAGTTAGCTTCTTGATTTTTTAAGCTAATGATTTAATATAAATAAAACTAATAGGTTTCCATCAAAGATTAATATTATTTGTGATTAATAATTTTAATAACAATAATGTTAGTTCCCTTTAATTTATCAAATAAATCTATTTGGGGTTTTGGGGTTTTGGGGTTTTGGGGTTTTGGGG